TTTAGGGTTTAGGGGTTTAGGGTTTAGGGTTTAGGATTTAGGGGTTTAGGTTGGGTACTGCCCCCACCCAGTAACAGTCTACATTAGGGGTCCTATTAAGGGCTATATGTAACCATATGATATTTGTTATCCAACTGTTACTGAGGGGGGGCAGTACCCAAGGTTTAGGGCTTAAGGCTTAGGGCTTTGGATTTAGGGTCGGGGTTTAGGTCTTGGGGCTTAGGGTTCCAAGGCCTTTACCCTTAAGCCGTGTAGACCCTAAACCGCAAAACCCATAAACTCGCTGAACCCCCTACAGCATACTTGGAGGGTCATGGGGACTTAGTGAGTAGGTTAGTAACCTCTATAACCCATATAGTAGCCCTAATTATCCCATGTTTAGTTAACCTACTGACTAAGTCCCCCTGACCTTCCAAGCAACCCTTGTTCCTAAACCCGACCCCCTGAATGGCTGCTGTTGCACGGAGTGCAGGGTAGCAGGGAGATCCGCTAGACCACTGCAATAAGGGCTTCGGGTTAAGGATTTAGGTTTTGGGGCGAGATGTCATCCTAAACCCAAAAACCCTAAACCCTAATCCCTAAACCCTAAAACCCAAAACCCTAAACCCCCCCCTGTAAAAGCCCGTAGTGGTGCCAGCAGTTTCTAGGCGGCTTTGGTATCCATGCGGCTGATCATGTTCAACGCCTGGTTCCTTGGCTTTCAAGTAGGGGGCTGCCCAAAATTAGGGATTCCCTTTTTTAAAGGGGTTTCTAGGGGTTATTTAGGGAAATGGAAAAGAAAATGGAAGCTACTATTTAGGGTTTAGGGTTCCAAAAATTAGGGGTTCCCTTTTGGGTGTCCCCATAATAAGGATTATAGCATATTGGGGTCCAAATTGGGGTTCCCTATTTCAGGAAATTACCAAGTAGGTACGGTTGAGGTTTTAGGGTTTCGGGGTCTAGGGCTCGAGGTGTAGGGTTTAGAGGGATTCAGGCGTTTTAAGGCCTAACGTGTAGGGGTTTGCTGTCGGGTTCGGGGGTGGTGCAGGGTTTAGGGTGGGGGGGTTGGGATCAGGGTTCAGGGTTTAGGGTTGTGGTGCCCTGGGATATAGACTTAGGGATCTAGGTCTGTAGTGTTTCGGGTTTAGGGTGAATTTCCTGACATCGTCTCAGGGGCCTCAACCCTAAATCGCGGGGCCCTTCAGAAAGGACCAGGGATTTTGCAAAAAAATCTTTTTGGGAGGAAGTGAGAGTTGTTTTCAGCCCTTGGAATCGGCCTTTCTTGCTTGCTTGCCCATAGGGTTTACGGTTTCTGCATGCTGCTGGTTCTGAAAAAACCTTACAGGACTTTTGTATACTAGAATATCAGAATGTGTGCCACTGGAGGTCATGCATGATGTTTAGTATCAACTGTGTGGAAGACTGGACGTATTTGCCCACATTATGACAGGAATGTACATGTTAGGTCCCAACCTTCAGTTGCTCAACACAAGTCACATCCGGATGAAAGACGACCAACAGAAGGTTTCCGTAATAATTGGTGCCATTATACTGGGGTCTACTTTGGCGCCCTGTCTTTATGGAAAGCCCTAGATGGGGGTTTCCCAAAATTAGGGGTACCTTTTGGGGATCCCCATAATAAGGACTATAGTATATTAGGGTCTACATTGGGGTCCCCCTATTTTGGGAAATTACTAGATCTTCCACAAGGAGTTAAAGGTCTTCCCCAGGATTTAGGGATACAATGCTAGGGATCACGCTGAAGTTCGTAAATAACCCATCTGAAGGGGGTTATGGTAGGAGATTATATATGCATATAGGGTTTAGGGTTTAGGGGAATGGGGTTATATAGGTGCTTATATAGGGAGAGTATTATGTCCTGAAATCTAATTCTCAAGAAATGAGGGGCGCTCAGGGTTTATAAGGTTAAGGGTTTTTCAGTACATGGCTCGCAGACGCTCCACTGGGATATCCCTTCAGCTCCTGTTGTGTAGGCTCCCTTTCTTTGGAGCTCTCTTCCTGAAAAGCCCTGTTCTGAGAAGGTTCCTCAACAAAGTGGCGAAGCCTTCTGCGGATACCAGCGATTCTGCCCTCGCCCGCTATGAACGGACAAAGGGGGTGCCCCCAAGGCCGGCGCAAGCGAAATATGTGGGTTGGTTTTGCGTATGGGTCCAGATTCAATGCTTATGTAGGGACGAACAGGTCAGGGCTCGGTCTGTGGGGAATGTTTGGGGCGTGGGATGTCTAGGTGGAGGGGTTTGCGGCTAAAGGGGTTAAGGGTTCAGGGGGATCCTTAATTAGGCGGGTTTTGCTGGCACGTGGAGATTTTGATCCATGATTAGTCTGCGGAAATTGCAACCTTTGGTGACATCGTTCTTATCATGGGATGAGGGTACGGATCCCTCTAGTAGTCCCCCATAATGCCTGTAATGATTGAAAGAATTCCTGTAACCCCTTCTCCCAGCCCCTAACTACTAGGCACCAGGGACCCTAAACCTTAAGCCTTACACCCTAAACCTAAGCCCTAGATAGAATCGAGTGCCAGCCAACAGGCATCAAATTGAAGCTGTTCATCGGGCAGTTCGAACGATCTGCGAGGTAAGCGCGCACAGAGTCCACCTAATACAACCCTGAAGTTTTCCTCTCAACGCTTTAGGGTTTAGGGTTTACGGGACTTTGGTCAAGGGGTATTATCCCAACAATGGAGAAGCAGATGGAAAAGAAAATGGACAAGAACATGGAAACTGGGAGTATATATAGTGACTAAAACGTCCTCTCAATGGGGGTATGTATAAGTAAGCACTTCGAGGGATGTGTCGTCTTTCAGAAATCTACGACTTAGCGGCTACGGCGTTTGGGATCCTGGTATGGGGATTTATCCTATTATACTATAGAAGTTTCCATTTTCTTTTCCAGTATCCCTATATAAGCCCGAAACCCTATAAACCCCTATATAACCCCAATATGTTGAGCCAGTTAGCGTGTACAAAAAAATCCTTACTGCTGCGAAGCCCATCAGATGAGCTCAATATTTTGGGGTTATATTGGGGTTTATAGGGTTTTAGGGTTTAGGGTTTATGTAGGGATAATGGAAAAGAACATGGAAACTACTATAGTATAGTAGGATACAATTTGAGATTCAGGGTTTGGTTTGGCATTTGAAGCTTTAGGGGGCTGTCCTAAAGTAGGTTGTAGGGTTGTAAGTTTCCAACTTGGGGTGGGTCTGCTCAAAATCTTTACTGCAAACCCTGAAGCCCTGACCCTGAGGGACTAAGCCTAAGCATGAGATCCCAAAGTTGCTGGTCCAGGGTCTGTGAGCTCTCCGTGGTGCGGGGTGTACGGTTCAAGATTCAGGATTTAGTAGGGAATGAGGGAGTGGATTGCTAGAGCAGTCCCTACGCAACTCCGTATAGTCATTCCTCGAACCCATTCCCCAATTGGTTTTGGGGTTTACAGGAGCACCATGAAAATCCTGGGGGTTCCGACATATGAAGACATGCACAACTGTTTTCAATGGAGGAATGAAGGGAACGCAACACAAATGAATGAGGAAATAGCATGAGTTTGTGAGGCATGAACGGAATGAAACGCACGCAAATAAACGGTTATGTCTGTCGTTTTCGCACACTCTTCTTCACTTAGTTCCTTCGCTATTCCATTGTTATTGAGAGCGAGAGAACTTAGTCAGCAAACGAGGAGAATGACTGAAGAAATGCAAATCGCATGAGCGAATTCATGACCTCACTTCACACGTGCGCGAGTTTTCAACACCATGGCGGAAGGTCTGAAGTCTCAACACCAAACCTAAAACTGTCAATCATTTAGAGCTTAAGATACTAAGTAGTGAAACATGATTGCCGGCCCTAAACCCTAAACCCTAAACCCTAGCATCTTTACACCAAGGAGGTGGAAAAGAAGTCTTATTTACATGGGGAGGGCGCTCTAGCCATGTCAAATCTACGAGCTTAGATCCCCAGGCCTCATGACTGTAGGGTTTGACATTGGCACAACTGCTACTTAACCCTAAACCCTAAACCCTAAACCCTAAGCTGCTACTTTTACTTAGCCAATAGATGAACTTTGAGCTTTTTGGTGTTCCTTTTTGGGTTTAGGGTTTAGGGGTCATTTGGGGAAGAGAGTTTAGTAGCAGCGTAGCAGTGGTAGTAATTAGTACGGTTGTCCTTGCTCTTGTTGTTATTCTTGGTAGTAATTGTATTCTTGAGCATCTTGAGGCTGGCTTACTGTAAACCCGTTACGAACTCTAAACCCTGACCCCTGAACACTTTTTATCCAGAAGGTTTCCAGGTTATTCGCGGCTGTCAGGTTGTGAACAGTTTGCCAGACCATGGGTTTGTTCACAGGGTTTGTTCACACTTGGAGCAGGTGTTTCTTGGGAGAGGTTTCGGAAGGAGGGTTCGGGATTTGAGGTTTAGGGACACCTTTCATACCGTGGGCTTCATGCAGGATATCCTTCCAAGCATTACTAGAAGCCTTCTTGTCGGGGGCTACTGCTATTAGAGCGGTGTTTCTTTTTGCCAGTCCGTCAGGTCACAATCATTCTGGGCAACCTAAAGCGACCTCACCACCTCATCCTAACTGGTGGTTTTTATAGGAATAGTATCAAAATGGCCTTAAATTGGGAATTGAAATGATTCTGAATGATCCTGAATCATTCTCACTCTTGTTTGGAAGGATAGCATGTTTGATCATCATAGGTGCCTGGACCTTCGAAGTGTGTGGAATAACAGGGGTTTAGGGTTCGCAACATGACAAGCCGCCTGAAACGGGCCCTGTGTAGACTTAAACTGTTGTCATCTGTGGGTTCAAACACGGGTGCCAGTCTTCTTACTGGTGGTTCGTAGGGAAGAATCGAGGTAGGGATTATAAAATTAGTTGGCAGGCAGCCAGACTAACCGCGGCCTACACCCCCCACATCCAGCTGTTCAGGGTTTAGACCTTAAACCCTGAATTCTAAACCATAAGCTTCAGGTCAATCCCCTACAGTAAGTCCAAAATATGGAGTGAGTTGGGCTGTAACATACCTACAATAGTCTCTTGTGGTACCCATTCCTGGGTGGGGGATAGACCCAACCTAAGCCCCAAACCCCAAACTAAAACCCCTAAATCCTAAACCCTAAACCCTAAATCCTAAACCCTAAACCAACCCTAAACCCTAAACCCTGTATCCTAAACCCCAAACCCTAAATCCTAAACTCTGAAGCTGCGAAGGTGGACTCCTGGGAGGCCTATTTTGACTCCCTGGGTGTGGAGCGTGTGAAGCCAGAGCAACTCTGCCACTCACCTCAACTACTGTGGGGGGTTAGGATTTAGGATTTAGGATTTAGGGTTTAGGGTTTAGGGTTTTGGATTTAGGGTTTAGGGTTTTGGATTTAGGGTTTAGGGTTTAGGCTAACCCTAAGGCTCCAAATAACCCAATGTAGGTTCTATTTATAGACTTTGGGGCCCAATGTAGGTATTATTTCTGGACATGGAGCCCTAGGGTAAGGGTTTAGGGTTTAGGGTCTAGGATCCAGGGCTTAGGGTTTAGTGCTTAAAGGGTTTACGGTTCAGGGTTCAGGAACCAAGAATTGAAATCGGGGGAACCAAAAATGAAGGGTCCCTTTCAAGGAGATGTAAAGGTTATATGCGGTATACACAGCAATATACAAAACTGAAAACCTCCAGTGAGAGTTTCCAAAATGTGGGGGACCCAACATAGATCCAAAAACACGTAGATGCCTATCACAAGGAACCCCTAAACGAAATCCTAAACCCTACATCCTAAAACCCTAAATCCTAAATTCCAATCATTGACCGCCAACTCTTCAAAGCCGCCAAGTCTCGCTGAATTCCACACATTAGCTAAAGTCTTAACTCCTGGAAGGGGATTGTATCATATAGGGTTTAGGGTCTAAACTCCTAGAAGGGGGTTATATAGGGGATTTAATAGGTGAGTATTGCAGGGGTTATGAGTAGGAGCTTAGACTATAGCTCGTACAACCGCTATATAGTAGATTCCCTTATTCCCTACTAACTACCGGTAGGCTTTGGCTTGTGGCTCTCACGCGGTTTGGGATACAGAGGATTAGCTAGAACCCCGACAATAGCCTCTTATTTGCCACCATACGCCATTATGTGATTGCTATCACCCTCCAGAAGGAATCCTAGTTTCTTGTGCGCACTTCCCTACTAATGTAGTCTATACAGGTTAAATAGGGTTATATTCCCTGACCAAAAAATGAGCCATGTTGGTTGGGATTTTTTGCCATTGTGCACCCCTCTGCGATCCCACGGTTGCTAGGCTAGGGAGCTAGCAAGCTATCGTATGTAGCTGAAGCCACGGTGATATGTAGTATTTTACACAGACACACACACACTCACATGCACCCACGTCATCTTCAAGTACAGTTTTGCAGGTTGCATATGTCCGTCCACATACTTGTAAACAGGATTCCCCAGTAGCTTCTTCTTCCCCTTTATAAAGCTGCGTAGTGCCCAAGAGGTCCCATTTTCTATTCTAGGTTATTGAGGATTTCAGCAAAGCTTGGTAAGCCCTAAATCCTGGACTCTAAGCCCTGAACCCTAAACACTAACCCGTACCCTACATCCTACACCCTGAAGCCTAAAACCTATACCCTAAACCCTAAAACCTATACCCTAAACCTTAAAACCTTTACCCTACACCCTAAAACCCATACTCTATATCCTAACCCTACACCCTAAACCTTGCCAGCTGTAAAAAAAACACCTTGCCTCTACCTTTTGGAGAAGACAGGCAACTGGCTGCGGCAGAGCGTCAGGAATTCGGCCCAGAGACTCGGATTGCCCTAAACAGGATCTCTGTTTAGGGCTTTGGGTTTAGGATTTAGGGCTTTGGGTTTAGGATTTTGGGTTGAGGGTTTAGGGTCTAGGGTTCAGGTCTAGGGTTCAGGGTTTAGGGTTTAGGATTTAGGGCTTTAGGGTACATATCCCTGTACATCCCTATATCTCCCGAAATTTACTTGTACATCACGAAGCCCGCTTATATCCCTGTATACCCCAGATATCCCTAGATGTCCCTGGACGTACGTATGTGTATATATGTATGGTTTAAGTTATGTGTGTATATATATAGAAGCCTTATATATACATATATTCACACCTGTTTGTCCCGATTTATCCCAAATACACACACGACTGCACACGCCCGTGTATGTGTATATACATATGGATGCATATATACATATATACCCATGTATATTACCGAACCGCAGGGAGTATTTGGAGTTGAAGGTTTTAGTTTGGGGGTTGGGGGTCTAATATAGGACGAAGATCATAGGAACAAAGCCGGCAATCGCTGTCATCGACATATGAGCTTTCGTCTGAACTCCCTCAAGAGTTTTTTTAGGAGATTATGTAGGGGAGTATTATAGGGGTTGCTCGGGGGATACTAGGAATTTAGACTACGGCTCATATAGTGGCGTGGTGGAGAAGAGTCGAACATAGGGCAGGGGCAGCAGCAGCAGCGGCAAACCCTAGCCTCCAAACCCCATCCCTGAACCCTATACCCTTTACCCGAATTTACCCTAGACCCTGATCCCTTAATGCTATGAATCCCTAAATCCCATACTATACCTTTCTGGTCTGAGATAGGCTCATTCTCCTCGGCTCTGTTGAGAGGCTCGGATTTAGGGTTTGGAAGGGCCTTGAGAAGGCAAGTCAACTGAGTAGTATTTTATTTGGGGATACTATGGTACCCAATATAGAGTAAGAGTATATCCTCCTTTTGGGGTATAGTATTTTATACAAGGAATATAATCTTACTAGGTTCAATAGGTTCAACCACCAAAAAAAGGCTACTCAACTGGCTAGACGAAACGTTTGTACTTTAGTTCCGACTCCTAGGCCATACCCAGACCCCCGAAGGGATCTAGAAATTAGATCCCCTAGAAGACTATGGAACCTTATATAGGGATTATAAAGGGGTTAGTATGGCTTTATATAGGGGATCTAATTTTTAGATCCTCCCAGGGGTCTGGGTAGGGCCTAAACCCTAAACCCTAAACCCTACACTACTCCATCCCCTATATACCCCCCTTTAAGGAGTATAGACTATAGCTCCTATAGGGCCCCCTAATTTTTGTAGGCATGGCACTCTGTCGAGGAAAGGCTACCACAAGTCCTGGCACTTCCGGAGCAAGGCAGGGCCAGCAAAAAAGGAGGAAGGCTACTCGGCCTTCGTTCGGATGGCTGAAGGTGTGGAGTTTACCCTAAACCCTAAAGGGTTTAGGGCTTAGGGTTTAGGGTTTCGAGTTTAGGGTTTAGGGTTCAGGGTTTTCCGGGTTTAGGGTTGAGAATGGAATAGAAAATGGGAAGCACTAGGACGCACGGTTTGGGCCGTGGGGGAGGGAATGAACGAATGTTAACAGGAAGATTATTCAGTTTCGCGGATGATATAGGGACTACTATAGGCATCCACTTCCCTACCGACTGCAGATAAGCTATCAAACAGCCCAAAACTCGTCGCAACAAAGGCTTAGGGGGTGGGATTTAGGGTTTCAGGGCTTACAAGGTCTTTTGGGGTTGGACCATAGGTAACGGGTTTTAAGCTGAGGGCCTGAGGTAGTGTGAAGGGTCAGGGTTTTGCTTTTTTTTTGGCTTCCCTAAACCCAAAGCCCTAAACCCTACACCCTAACCCTCAGCCCCAAGGCCTACGCCCTAAAGGGGGTTTTCCGAAAATCAGGGGTACCATTTTGGGGGTCCCCATCATAAGGATGATAGTATTTTGGGGTCCATATTGGGGTCCCCCTATTTATGGAAACTACCAAATCCTAACTAAACCCGAAACCCGAAACTACTGTTGGATGTGAAAGGAATTCTGATCGGGTAGGACTGGTTTTCCCGCATTGTAAAGAGGAGTACTGGAGGGAAACCTTCAACCCTTAACCCTAACTGTAGATAGCATCATACCCTCCCTAGGTCTTAAATGGTTTCACCTACTCCCCTCGATGCTGAATTCCTCTTCACAGAACGCATAATCACGTTTACCATTGCGCGATCGCTGTTGCAATGACCTCGCACTATTAGTGATTTCACAGTCTTCGTGTTTAGCATCGTTATCTGTAGTGTCAGAATTTTAGTATTTCTAGTCTTACTGTGACCGTCACTATTGCTTTTGGTGTTCTTGTAAGCCCGTACTATTACGATCACTATTACGTTTTGTATTGGTTGGGGTCGAGTTGCTGCGAGCTAGGGGCGTGTTGGGAGAGCAGGATGAATGAGGGGTACTGGAGAATCAAATGACAAATGGTTTTCCAACATGAAATGCGAATTTGGTTAATGTAAGAACTCATGCGAGCTATGTACTTTCAATAAAGGGACAGCTTGATTGCCCCAATGATAAGCTAAGGACGCCATGCTTTGAGATGATGCCCTAAACCCTAAACCCCAAACCCTGAACCCCAAACCCTTAACCCCAAACCCTAAACCATCCTAAACCCTGTTACTACCAAGGCTGGGCTTCCCCAGCTCCAGCTCTTAAGGATTGCTGTTGTGTGCCCGTACTTCGTGGGCTTAGGGTTTAGGGTTTCGGGGGTTTAGGGGTTTAGGGGTTGGGGTTTAGGGTTTAGGGGTTGAGGGGTTTAGGGTTTAGGGGTCAAGGGGTTTAGGGTTGTCTGCCTTCATCAGCCAGTGAGGGGCCTGTGTGTTGCTGTAAAAGTCTGATTCTTGTTCGCATCTTGCACGTAAGGCAGGATGATTAGGTAGCCTTGCACACTTGAGTCCTGCCACCCCAAACCCTAAACCCCAACCTCTACACTCGGAAAACCTAAGCTTGACCCATCTCAAACCTTGGCCACAACCCTTCTAAACCGTAAAACCTGAATGGGAGTTTCCCGAAATAGGGGACCCCAATAAAGACCCCAATATACTCTAGTGCTTACTATGGGGACCTCCGAAATGGTATCCCTAATCATTCAATTTTGGGAGACCCCTAAATCTATCCCTAAACCCTACTTGAACTATCTGATGGTTATCGGATCGCCGAGTTTGCCACCCAGGTATCCCGAATCGCATCGCCACTGGCCCAGAAACTGCCGCAGATAGGAATCTAGGGAGTAGGGTGTATAGGGTTTAGGGTTGAGGGGTTTAGGGGTTAGGGTTTAGGGTATAGGGTTCAAGGTTTAGGGGAAAAGGCCAGGGTCCAGGGTATAGGTTTCAGCGTGTGGGTCTTCTCCAAACACTTGAACCCTCAAACCTAATCCAAAAGCCGCCAAGCCCAAACCGACATGGAGCCCCCCAAAATTTGCCTTACAGCAGTAGGGTTGGAGGTTTGATTAAGGTTTAGGGCCTCTTATGCAAGACTGCGGCATTGGGATACAACTAGTGTTATATCGGGAAAACCTAAGCATTATGACAAGGTAATCTTCCACATTCTTCCGACTTCTACATGAAATCCCTGTAGACCCATCTGTGATCGGATTTTTCATTGAATGCTCCTTTGTTTGCCTTCTCTTTTGATTCGTTCTTTACCTACTGGCTGGTAGCAAGGAGCGGAGGCATGGACCCCTATAGTAGCCCCGACCTACATGATGCCAAAGAATGTAATCATTTCGATGTGTTTTTTGCTTCCTCTGTTCCCTAGCCTAAGCCCTAAACGCTAAACCAGTCCTACCTAATACAAGCCCCATATGAACCATAGTCTACACTCCTAGTCTCCCATTTAATAACCCCTATAATACTCCCCTATATTGTCCCCTATATAACCCCCCGTTAAAAAGTGAGACCTTTAACCCTAAACCCTATAATCCCTCATATATCCTCCCTTTTCAGGAGTCAACCCTAAACCCTAAACCCTACGTAAACCCTAAACCCTAAACCCTGTCTAATATGGACCGCCAATGCTGGCCTGGCCATAGCCCTCTGGGGCTTCCAAGGGCTCGCCGCAATCCTCGCGATCCACAGCTTGAGATTTCCCCAAGTTAGGGGTACCTTTTTGAGGTGAGGGTACCTGAAATAAGATAATTGGTTAAGGGTCTCTTTTGGGATTCCCGCTACTTATGGAAACTACCACTTGAGGTTTAAGGTTTTTAAGTTGCGGGTTTGAAGTTGTTGCTGTCGGGCTTGGAGTTTAGGGTTTAGGGTTCAGGAATTAGAGCTCAGGGCCTAAACCCTACACCCCAAACCTTAAACTATCTTAAACCCAGGATTTGGGCGTTGGAGCTGCGATGTTTCGATTCGGCGCAGCGTTTATGTTTCCGCATGTAAGGGTTTTGGACTGTAAGGCTTTAGATCTCAAACAAGCCGAAATGGTCCATGTAGCTATATAGTATTTACTTGGGTACTAGAGTTGTTCTCATACAACCATTTTAGGGGTGAAATATATACTATATTTCTACCCTAAACCCTGAACTATATAGTATATAGCTACATGGAAGTTGTTCATCCAAACCAGGTGGGAAGCTGGGACGGGGCAACCCCCTGTACTTGGCATCCCGAACCGGGTCTAGGGTTTAGGGTTTGGGGTTTGGAGTTTAGGGTCTAGGGCTTTCACCCGAACATCAAGGGTCCAGGGTTTAGGGCCATGATGCTACAATACAATGCTACCCTCCCGCAAAAGCCTAAACCCTAAACCCTCAAAATGCAACCCTATGTAGCCCCGATCTGAAGCCCACGAGTCTACACGGACACCCTTTCGGGTTCCATGGGGATTGTTTTGATCATTCCCGCTTGCAGTAACAATTACCAAGAAAGGATAGGAGTTATAATGGCCCTTTAAAAAAGGCCCTTTAAGGAGAATTAGTGTAAGGGAGAATGACCCTAAACCCTAAACCCTCACCCCCCAAGGGATTGTAAACTGTCTTGAGAACTACGGCGCTGCATTGCGTGCCCCCGTTTGAGACTGGGGTTTAGGGTTTAGGGCTTGGGCTATTGCTGTAGGGGGGGGGGATGGACCTAACTCACCCAGAAGGCTCTGAACCCTAAACCCCTAAATCCTAAAGCCCTAAACCAAAAACCCTAAAGCCCTAAACCCTAAAACCCGAAACACTAAAGCCCTAAACCCTAAACCCTGAAGCCCTAAACCCTAAAACCCGAAACACTAAAGCCCTAAACCCTAAACCCTGAAGCCCTAAAACCAAAAACCCAACTCCAAGTCAGGACTCCCGAAGTCCGAAACCCTTTGTCCTGGCCCGCGCGGCAGGGTGCAAAGAATGTCTGTGATGGCGCCTCCCGTAGTTATAGTCTGAGTTTAGTGTTTCGGGGTTTAGGGGTTTAGGGTTAATGGGTTTAGGCATGGTCTAGCCATTTTTGTGGGTTTCCAAACTTGAGGGGCCCCATCTGAAATCATGATGGGATATCTAGGGCGTAGTCCAAACTCCTAGCATCCCCCTTATTATCCCCCATAGTAGTCCCCTAGATAATCCCCTATAAAACCCCCATTGAGGAGTTTAGCCTCTAGCTCATATAGGTCCTTAAGCATGTGTGGGGTCGAGGGTTTCCCAAATTCAGGGGTCTCTTTTCGATGCTTCCTGGAGTAAGGATCATAAGAAGTTCGGCTCTACATTGGAGGCGTGCTACGAGGAAACCCTAAGCGAGGATATCTGTTGCAAAGGCATCCTTGAAAGCAGGTCATTATGAAAACCCAACATGGGGATGGCAAGTAAACCCTAAACTCCCTAAACTCCCGAAACCCTAAACCCTAAAAACCCTAAACCCTAAACCTTAAACCAACCGGCAAAAAGCGTGTGGGCTGGGGGTTGTCATGTTTTTGGCTGTTGTTGTAGCGGTTCTAATCAAAACGTGCGAACTGTGATTCGCAAATGAACTATAGCTTAAACTCCTTGAAGGGGGTAAGACAGGGTTTAGGGTCTAAACTCCTATAGCTTGAGCTCCCAAAAGGGGGTAATACAGGGTTTTAAGTTAAGGGTCTAAACTCCTTCCAGGTGATTTTGATTAACTTAAAAGTAATTAGATTTCAGATTTCAATTGAACGGAATTCGATTTTAACTAGATCCTAATTGGATTTGAATAGATTTTCAAGTGGATTAATTGGATTTCAAAGAAATTTTACTGCTAATTAGTGGCAGTGCCAGTAAGACGAAAAAGAATACCAGCTTGAAGGCTACTGCCGAGATACATGTTTTGGATCGATTGTACTTGCGCAGCAAAATTTGGGGGGCGGCTCCGTATTTCAAAAAATAGTCCATTGTTTACCTGGGGGCCGTACA